AATAGATTGAACGAATAAATACAGAAAGAAAAAAAAATATATATGTAACATATAGTGGACGTTATCATACATTAAGGAAAAAAACAAAAGAAAAGAAAAAAATAAGTATCAGTGTGCAAAAACTAAAGCAACAAAAAATGCAATTTGAGAAATAAAATATGTGTTATATGATATAATACTTTATGGAAGACGAATTGTATAAGAATTTAATAAAAGAGAAACATTGATGAGATATTTATGCAGACGTCAATTCATAATATGTGCCTGTATTTGGATCATAGAAGCATTTAAGTATTTCATCAAAGCATAATTGGACTTGTTCACCATCCATAGTTGATGGCATTGGTTCAATATCATCAAGTGAACTTTGTTTCTTCATTGTAGTTGTTGGGTTTAATCTAAATGTAAAAGTTTTTTCACTAACAGTACCAGTTCCAATATTATTATTATTTTCAGTAACAATTGAAGCCATTAATGGTGGTATTTGTGCATTAGCACTTGAAAGCATTTCATAACGATAATTTAGTGAAAAACGTGAACGAGCTGCTAAATCTTCATCAGGTTTTAATGTACGTGGCGAAAGTTTAAATGTTGTTGTATCTAAAGAATTTTTTGTAACATATTCATATTTTGTTGGATCAAAAGTTTTTTGTTGGTGTCGTGGAGAAATTCCACCATTGACTGTATTAGGAATCCATTCATCTGATGATTGTATATTAGCAAGTATAGCAGCTATTTGTTTTGAATCGGCTATTTCAGCTTGATCAAAACCATGAAATGGATCATTAGTACATGAATCTGATGATGAAAATGCTTTAAAATAAATAGAAATAATTGAAAAGTTTTTGTAAAAATAAATAAGAAAATTTTCACTTGTATTATTTGTAAAACGTTGAATTTCATCATGAGCCTTTTTATCTTGTTGATGAATGTCATTTGAAATTTTATCTGGTTTAATTGGTGAAGAATTTTGTAGCTGTCTTGGTGATATTAATGGTGATGTTGAGGATGGTAAACGACGAAACAGTAAAATAATTCGTCGTTTTTGTACGGCTTTAGGAACTTTTGATCGTTCTTGTTCTTTAATTAAAGCATTTAATGAACTTTTTTGTTGTTCATCACGTTTTAATAAATGATTTTTTGGTAATTGTTGAATATGATTATCATCATGTGAACGTGGTGTTGATGATTCATTAGCTGATGATGGTTTTTGTTGATTTATAACTGAACGTGGGGAATTTTGAGATGAATTTTCATCTGGTGCTGATGAAACACGTTGACGTAAATGACTACTACGTAAATATTTCATATTTTGTACAGATTGTCGTTGAAGTTCACGTGGTGGATTACTAAATGTATATGGTTGTTTGGAGATTTTATTTGTTGAGTTTTTATTTGAAGAATTGACCGATGAAAATGATTGAAATGGAAGTGATGGAGATTGACTTATTGATGATGACGTTTTTGTGGATGTTATTGAATTAGTTGATAATGATTCACGTATACGTGGTACTGGTGGAGGGATATTATTTGTTGGTGATTGAAATCGTGTACGATCGTTTGTCATCGTAGGAAGAATAGCATTGGTAGATGATGTTTGAATATGCTTCTGTGTAAATGATCTTGATGAATGAGTACTTCGATAAGCAGTTGTCGACATATTTTAAATGATACTTTTATTATTTAATGAATCGACATGCTGAATATCAAAAAACAAAGAAAAATATTTTTATTTGTTATTTTTCTTCATGCGTCTCAGACATTCAGATCGACAATGAAATGTGGAGAATAATATAAACTTTTTTCTCTGTCTCACTTTTTCTTATTCTCTTTCAAATTTCAAGCGTTTTGAAAATTACCGACGACTAACAGAATCGAATGAAACGCTTTTTTTTATTTCTTCTTTCTTTATGCACTCGACCGATCGATCAAGCTTTTTCTTTTTGTTGCTTACTTTTCATTCTTTCTTTAAAATAATTCACTTTTTATTGGTTAAAAAGTGAAACCATCGGTTCATCTATGACCCCTGTTCAATATACATTTATGACATCTATCGTTGGTATGAATTCTAATAGTGAAGATTAGAATGTATTTTTTTTAAGAATCCGATATTTTCTTAAGTTAGACAGAAAAAAAAAGATATAACGTGTTTCTTTACTTACCATAGAGTTGACAATGCGGCTTACTTTAAAATAATGTAGACTTTATAATATGCGATAGTTTCGTCATTTCACAGTTGCTTATGAAATTTTTTGAAATATAATGTTATTGACAGACATAAAGTATATAGTTTTCAAATTAGCTAGCTATTTGAAGGACAGGTTCTTCTTCAACATGTGCATTTTTTTAGAAAACAGATATTGCTCAGGTTTACAGGTAATCATTGATATTTAAACATTGTGAGTACAGCAACTATTCATATTTGTTTTTATTCTTACACGATGCTTCAAATTTCATATTTATCTGATTGGCATAAAATATAGTGTTCAAGAACACGACAATTGAAACGGTATAAAGTTCTCATAGATTTTAAAACAAATACGCTTTTATCATTTTGATAGAAGTCATACTATAATTGATAGGTTTTCCAGTAGTTTGAGCTAATGTTTTTCTACAGTTTGAGTAACATTTTATGCTTTCTTGATATTGTACAATGATCTTTGTGTTTGATTTTTTATATTCCCTAGTAAAAGATAATATATTACTTCTGAACAACTTACACTAACTTAGTTTCGTGGAAATACTTTGATGTAATGATTGTTAATTACTGTCTTAATATTTGATAAAGAGATGGAAAATAAGAAAGAAAAACACTTTTTTTATCAATTTGCAATCGTCTTTTGGATGTCAATACAATTGAATGAGAGAAGATATTGTACCACTTCGAGTTTTCTGTACAGCTATGTAATCAAATTTGGAATGAATCATGTCTTGTTTTTCTATGTCTACCGGCTGGATAGTTTCAAAAATAAAATAACATTTAAGAAAATTCTTAAAAAAGTATTAAAAATAGCTATTAATTTTATTTTCGAAATTTAAACAGCTAAGTTTTTTTAAACTGACTGATGTTCTTTTCCTCCTATATTAGAAGCTAAATATAAAATTAATCTATCGTCTGTTTAGATGATCCATGGTAGTTAATAAGAATTGAAATAAATCAAGTGAAATAAAATAAAGTGAACTTTGGAGTTATTAAGTTTGTCATCGTCTTGCATTTGTAAAGCTCCTCCAAAAATAACTCGTATACGTATCAAACAAAGTTTAAAGAGCAAAAAAAACGGATATCTAGTCGAGCATTCTTGTGTTTTTCTCTAGCACTTCACTACTTTATCAATACGCGCATACCATCGAATATCTATGCTTGGAAATCATTTTTAGATGAACAAAATCAATTGCATTTGAATTTTCCGTCATTATTTCATAAGCGGAAAGGTGAACATTACGTATTTTTATGAGTTTTTTTCTTCTTTTTCACTCTGGATAATTATCATACAGACACGCTAATATTGTGAAGTAAAAGTTAATTATCCACCTTAGATTTTGTTTATTCAACATCAATTAATTATGTATTAGCATGCAATAGAAGATAATTATTACTATGACTATTACAGTCCTGTTGATAACAATGCTAAAGTTAACAATTAAATTTACCGAAGCACATGCATCGGATAGATTTCAAATTTTTCATGATGACAAAGAAGGTACTTTATCGGGGTTACACGAACGAGATCCGTTCGATAGTAATAGTCATGAGTTCAAATCAGTCGTGATAAGTTACTGTAACATTTTTCGTAATCGATAAATGAGTATCAGAAAATTGACGAGTTTACCAAGGAATGGCTAGTTTTTGAAAATAACTTTTGTTTTTTCCAAAGTGTCAATTTTACTGAACAAGTTTTACGAAATTCTTCATTCATTTGATGAACATTTTTGCTTCACTGATGTCCTCTTTTATTAATAATTGTAGCTGAAGCACTGATTCAAATTCATAATTCGATTTGATTGCAGGAAGTACGGCCTTCAGTACAGACTCTTGATTGCACCCGTTGGAAAAGCAAATAAAATAAACAGCAGAATATATGTTATATTTTTCGGAATAAATCGCTTTCATTTGCTTATCACTTTTGCGTGCATTGGTGTTCTTCAAATCTATTGTTGTTATAACAGTGACGCTGCCTAGCATGAACCGCTTCATAGTCTCTTGTAGGGATGGCTGAGATGAAATATCACTGTTTTCAGGCAGACATGTAGTAGTGAAGACAGATTGAATACATTCAACAATACACATACCACTAGAACATGCATTCAACGTACCACCAACATAGCACATGCCAGACTCATCATTGTTGATAACATTATTCATTAGTGAATTCCTTATTTGTCCTTTCAAAGCAGTATAATCGGCATTAATTAGCCCCGTTAACCAGTTTTCAACAAATTCAACTTCACAAAAGTCACTCGAAGAGCATACATATTTAATAGTGTTTGTAGAAAGTTCCAAACCTATTTTCAAGTATGTGATAGTTGTAGACAGTGTCAATTCATCGTATGTATTTTCCGTGCTACTGTTAACATTATATTGAATAGTGATTTGTTTTGTCATATATACAGCTTGTATCATGACATGACACTTAGCAGTAGACCTTTCATCAATCGTCTTTGTCGTAAATGCAACGTGTTTTCTGATCAAACTGTTTGATAGAAAGTTGTCATAGCTTTCGTTTAATTTTGCTCAGCTGGGGGAAAATTCCAGCGAGAAAGTCTCCCAAAGTGAAAGAGAAGCGGTTTTTTACGTTCGTTTTTTACGCTAAAATATAATATTAGATGATGCTTTCAAAACAGCGTTATTCAATAGATTGTTATTTTCTTCGTTGTTGTTTGTGCATATAAAGCTGAGCAAGAAATTCAGAAAAATGAAAACAAGTTAATTTTTTGTATACAAAAATATATAAATATTTTCAAAAATAATATTCTTTGAAAAGAGTATTAGGTTTTAATTATTATTTATCATTAACATCATCATCATCATCATCATCATCATCGTCATCATTATCTTGGTACTTGTATATCTTGATGTTACGAGCTTTTGCTCTTCCTGGGTACATACAAAAATGTTGAACAATATCATCTAAATCATTATCAGTAACATCCGGTTTTAAAATACTAAACTTCACAGCCGTTTCTAATGCTGTGAATGAGAGACTATTTCGTAATTTGGTTTTAATTCGTTTTAATGCACTAAAACTTCTTTCGCATTCATTAGATCCAATAGGTAAAGTAGTTAATATTTGATATAATTTTAACCATTCAGGTACCAAATAATTTGCATTGATTGATAAAAACTTTAGTATATCTAATAAACAAACTTCATCATTAATTATTTTCATTTGCATTCGTTTAACATCGTTATTTGCACTTTTTAATAAAACACGTAGTTGTGGAAGTTCTTTTTGTAATTTTGCAAAACATAATAAAGGTTCATCAGTTCGTTCATAAATTTTATTGTCAACCCCTTTGTGTTTATAATACATTTCATTACAATATAAATTTAATAAACGATTTTTCAATACTTCCTCGTTACTATAATCATTTAATTTTATAAACATTGTAATATTATCCATGATAATTCGAGAATCTTCTCCAAAACGTTCATTAATAGAATTTATTGTAGAATTAATAAGCTTTAAGCCATAATTATTCAAATCATTATCCATATCCATATGATTATCATGGGCGTTATTATTAATAGATATGGAACTTCGTGTTGAATGAGCTGTTCGGTGTGTCATTGGTAAAAGATCACGACATTCTTTAACTTTTTGTTTATAAATTTCATAATCAAATTCATTTAATGTATTTTGTATACGAACAGTAGTTGAATCTAAGCATATTGAAAATTTATCAAATGTCATGGAACAACTTTCTGTTTGTTCTAAAAACAGTTTAGCATGTCCTAATATAATTCTCATAATTCCAATTTGGAAAATAAATTTTTCATTAACAAAACGAATTGCAAATCCATTTGCTGTTTCCGAACCATCTTTATTTTTTTCATGAATTTGGATTAAAGCTGATACAATTGAAACCATGTGGGTCCACACAAATTCAGCTAACTGATAGTGATACACCCATCGGGTGTCACTTGCACTTGGTACTTTAGAACCTTTAGAAAAGCATAAAACATTAGATACAAAACATTTTTTGAAATAAGAATACCACATAATGAGTTTTTTCTCTCTTAAATTTATTTTCCTTCGTTAAAGTGAAAAGAGTTTTTCTTTACCTTCTTTACTTGTTGCATGAAAGATTTGTGATCTTTTTAATATATCCAATCGTTGTGCAGATTCTTGAAAAAAGACAAGTGTTCTGTGAATTAAATCGTATGATTGATAAAATTCATTTGATAGTGTGTCTTTCACAGAAAGATTAATCAAATGACTTCGACAATGTACATAAAAAGCGAATGCATTAATTCTTGATCTAATATGTCCTTGAGTTTGACACCTAACTGAAGATGCACCATCGAAACATTGACCGATTAGAATAAATTTTTTATCTAATTCTTTTTCTAAATCGAATAAGAATTGATTAATAACATCAAAAATCGCCTATAAAAAAGCAAAAATATATTAAATACAATATAGCAAGAAGTACTTCTCCTGTTTGAGAATGTATTTCCTATAAACAAATAATTCTTTCAACTAATTCTTTGGTAGAAGGATTAAAATAACGTAAACAAATACATAATTGTTCCATCACTGTAACATCGCATGTTTCATCTGCTATTATTGTAATATAAGTAACATTTCTTAATTCTTCTAGTTGTTTTTTCCATAGCCACTTTTGCACACTAAGTAACCAATCACTACGACTTTCTCCACTCCAATAAAGTTCTTTTCTGTTAGCTATAGATAGCCATTGAACTATTGGTTCAGAAAGATTTAGATGTTGTAGTTGGATCAAATCTTTCAAGTTCATAAATGCAAATTCTTGCTTCAATAAGAAAATAAACGATCGTGCAATAGCACGTAAATAATTTAAACTTGCTGTTTTTGTATTAATTTTTGTTGATTTTAATTGTTCTATAACTGTACCATGATCTTCAGATTGTATCTTTGATTGATATTTCATTAATGATTGTTTATGAAGTGTAGATTCTTCATGTTGTCTAATTCCTACGATAAAGCTGTTTGAAAAAGTGTTTTTCATAAAATCAACACTTTTTGTGGGGAAAAAAATTTAATTTTGGACAAATTTTCTTCTTAATTTACTACTGCGATACAATTAAAAGCTTCTGGGAGACTTGGATTCGAGTATCAGCTTAACTTCGACAAATATATTACATATCTTGATAAACACTGCAGCGTCATAATTATATAAACTAATCTAGGAAAAACTGGTGCATCAAATTGCCAAATCTACCGATAAGGCACTAATTTTGAAAAATGATTTTGATTTAGTATGCTATCAAAAGCTTCACCGAAACCTGAATGTCCTTTTGTGATGATCTTAGTTGTATGAAGAATTTAGACTCAATAGATTAAAGAGCTATTGAAAGATTTTCATAGTTAATCATACCTTCAAGACCTTTGTGCAGCAGTTTCCAATAAGGATGAGAAATAAAACCTCCTTTGTTTTTCACTAATCTTGAGTTACATTTTGCTTCTTGTGCACAAATAATGCATAATAATCCGTATTTTTTTTCCGAATATATTGCGCGAAGCTAGATTGCTCGTGCTGCTGTGAACCAAGTTGAACTTGGCTTTGATTCACCACCAGCACCATCTGGTAACCAAATATCATCGTTCAATAATGATCGTTGTTGATCAACAAATTTTAATTCTTGATCTGTTATAAATTGTACACCTGGTATTGATATTTTAACACAAGGAGGACGATTAATCGGTATATATGTCAATGAACAACACATTTCATTATCAATTAAATTTTTATAACTTGTATTAGGACTAATAATATCATGTAGTAAATCATTTAATGACATTGAAACATCATTATCATTTATATTTTCAGTCTCAATCATATCAATAGATGAATTATCTGTTGATATTAAATGATTATTTTTATCTATAATAGAACTTGTATAAAAAATATGTTGTTCATTTTCTAATTGAACAAATATATTTTCGAGTATTTGTCGTAATACGATCATATCATCATAATCATCGCTGTTGCTTTCATTCAAGTGAATATTTGAACTTAATAATGGAGAAGAAAGAATATCAAAATTTTGTTGAATAATTGTTGTTATGCATTCTTGTTGTACATCTTCACTTAATCGACGTTTCTTATGGTTAAAAAATTTGTCAATTGATGGTGTTGTGGTAATTTTGTGTTGATTTGAAATATTCGTCTTTAAGGTGTTGAAAACTTCATCATATGTTCTTTTTTTTTCATTTCGTTCATGATGAGTACACCAGTGACGCTTGAAATTTTTCACTTGAACGTTTACCCGCCAAATAGGACAAAGTCCTTTTTCAGAACTGGACATATTTTCAATCTTGATATAAAATATTGTAAACTGGAATAGAGATTTTTGAACAAGAAATATCATTGATAATATTTGCCTGTTTTTATTGCCTTTACAAATGATTCATTTTCTCTTTGAAAATTCAAACAGACATTAGTTTAAATTGAAAGAGAAAATAGTCCAAACTTAAAGAGAAAACAGCACACATTGAAAGAGAAAATAGTTCAAACTCAAAGAGAAAATAGCATACATCGCTAGAAAATAGTTCGTATGTGATACAGCAAGCAGTTCTCCCTGCAGTTATACAGAGAAAACTATTTTGTATCAGAAAATACAACAAGTTTGTTTGTGCACAGCTCGTCGTACTTACTAAAAGATAAAAACAGTTCTGCTCCTAAAATTCTTAGGGAGAAAACTAATACATAGGAAAAAAATTAGCCGGGGGAAATACCCCAGCATCCCCCACCTAATCGTATGGCCTATAGATGTGCGTATGGTTATGAGTGTGTGTATTTCAGTGGCGAATGGTGTGAGCATAGGTTAGGTTTGTCATAGCATAGGTTATCGGCCAACAAGTAATCGGTCTTTACTAGTAACTGTACCACTGAAAATCAGTAAGGACTAGCTAACTCATAGACCGATAATACGATTGATTGAAATACGCTGGAGTTGTTCGAAATTCATTGAAATTGATCGTCAATCAAGGATGTTCATCAATATGTATTACGTGTAGATATTAATCTTCTCTTCGCTCACACACAATTCTCCACTCTCATTCTCCCGAATGCACGCATCAGCCTCAAAGCAAATAAACACAAATAAGCAGTGAATGCGCATTACGCCGTTTCAAAACATATTACAATGCAATTATTCATCTGTATCAAACATTTTCTAAAGTAAGCTGGGCTTTCTCCTCAAAATTCAAAAGAAGCCATTAGTATATGAATAACATTCAAATTACTTAATAATACGCCGTCACACTAATATTCTCACAAAGCATTATTTAAGGAAATGCATCTTAAGCAGTTTATGCATGCATTATTTCATAATGGTTCGCAAAGCGTGTCTCTGTTTCGTACTTCTACTACCATTCGTTTTGTATGGCCTCGCTACAGCTGTACCCTGTGAACGAAACAGTGAGCGACAGAGAATCCAGAAATGAAAGGCAAGTCAAAAACGTTTTGTATCACGTTCATGTTATTTGACGAATGACTATTATCACAAATGGGATAATTGCACATTTGGTGGAGTATACAGTGATGGTTTCGAAGTTCCTGATACTTTGGTAGCTGGTATTGATTATCAAAATGTATGGCGACAGGTCAAACATGCTTGGCTTTGTTGTCCCTGAAAGACAATATTTCACTGCTTCACTAAGCTTATATTGTGTTTTACATGCTTCAGTAGTATTTCTTCAATGTGTCTTGTAAAATGAAGTGCATACCGCCACAATGAATATTGAATAATAAACTGAAATATTCATTCTTAATAGATAACCACACTCACAGAATAATTTTTCATCTTTCATAACATTTCATATATACTTCTGAGCTGTTCACCTACATTTTCATTAACCATTTTGACAGCTTAATGAAATGGCAACGCATTCTCACATAGTCCGATATGGTTTGCCTTCAATTACCCTACTAATTACTCTTCTAAAATATGTGGATTTCTCGAAAACGATCGGATTGTTATTGAAAGGTCTTGTTTCATAGCAGAGTCTAGTAGTCTTGTTGATCGATTCAAATACGACTCGATATAAACTATTAGATTCAGTGAATTTTCATAATAATTTGCTACAAATCCAACAGCGAAACTGCTAAGATGCCAAATTTTCACCAACAGAAAAGCAACACTTTTAAGAAAGGCAGCCTTGTTTTACTTCTTAACTGCTTATCCCTCCTCCAACACTATAGCAAAGAAGAGCTGGACGAATTCTAACTGACTTGAGCTCTACATCTACAACTTGTCGACACTATTCAAAAACACCAAATACTCGCAAACGTGGACATCATCTTCCTATTTCTTCAGTACATTTGTTTGTTCGATTCGATAGACTGTTGCAGAGATGTCTTGTTATGAGTGCAGATGAGCTTTCAGTGACTGCTTCGAGTTTCTATTATTCCAGCACTGTTGGCGTGTTTGAGTAATACAGAAATGTACCATCAGTAACAACTCAAGAAGGAGTAGGTATAAGTGTAGGTTAAAAAAGTCTCTCCCACCTCCGTAGCCGATCTATTCACGTTCAACACCAATCAATCCGCATCTCACTCACATCCGCACGTAAGAATGCGACCTATCAACAATTAACTAGAACAAACAAAGATCCTAACTCGACAAAAAGTTTGCGGATAATTTTTATTTGGGTTGAAAACGAATCATTTATCTAATAAAACAGCAATCAATCATTCAATCGAGTTGTTGATGTGATCGACGCATTAAATTTTACCATAAGCAAATGATTTTGTTCAGTTAATTGATATCTAAGTTCATGTGAGTTTTACAAATCGGTTCTTTGGGCATATGTTTGTCGTCGTGTGCTATTGAAATCACTACTTTGTTGGTCGTATTTGTTTGTTATCCATGTAACAATCTCTTCAAACTGATCAGCTTGTACCTTCAGTTCATCAATTGAAGCTTGCGGATTTAATTCAAACCACTCGATTTCCTTTTCAATAGCATTTCCAAGTGTTGTTTTGTCGGTTGATGATAAACGTTCAAGGAATGTATTTGGTGTTTTTAATTGATTTCTTAACGCATAGATATATCTTGAAAGAGAAAGCGAAAGAGATAGAAAACGCATAATATCTGTATTTCACAATTGTTGAAAGACAACACTTACGCTTCTAAATTATTCCTGCTTTCGATTCGATCTTTTATTTTTTTGTCCTCATCTGCATACTTCTGTGCATCTTTAACCATTCGATCTATTTGTTTTTGTGATAATTGATTTTTATCTGCATTGATTACAATATTATTCTTATTGCCTGTATCTCTATCTTTAGCAGTGACCTAATCAAATAGAATCCAGAATTTAAATATCATTTTAAATTATCAAATTTACATTGAGAATACCATTAACATCAATTTCAAACGTAACATCAATTTGTGGTTCACCACGTGGTGCGGGTGTTATACCCGATAGAACAAAATGACCTAAAAAATGATTGTCTTTTGTCATTGACCGTTCACCTTCAAATACTTTTATGTCCATGGAAGTTTGATCATCTTCAGTGGTTGAATAGGGCTTCGTATATATAATCGGTATTGGAGTATTTCGTGGAATAATTTCTGACATTACTCCACCTTTAGTCTCAATACCCAATGTCAATGGATTCACATCCAATATAACAATGTCACTGGTACATTCTTCACCCGATAGTATAGCTGCTTGAATAGCTGCGCCATAGGCTATATTCAAAAGAAAAATATTATCATATAAGTCAATTTATTTTCTTCATATTTTTGACTCACCGACAGCTTCATCTGGATTGATACTACGCGCTGGCTCTTTACCGTCGAAATAATCTTTTATTAGTTGCCGTACTTTTGGTATTCGAGTGGAACCACCGACCAGAAGAACTTCGGCAATATCAAATATTTCTAATTTAGCATCTTTCAGCACTTGCCGAACGGGTGCCATCGTCGAACGAAAAAGATCTATATTGAGCTCTTCGAATTTAGCACGTGTCAATTTTTCATTAAAGTCTTGATTGTGAACAAATGATTCAATTTCAATTCGTGTTTCATGTTCTGATGATAAAATTCGTTTAGCCTTCTCCACTTCACGTCGCAGTTTTTCTATAGAACGAATATTTTTACCTATATCATGACCGGATTTTTTTTTAAATAATTTTATAAAATAATCCATAACACGTGTATCGAAATCTTCACCACCTTAAACATGAATGAAAATTTTATATTATTCACAAAGAAAATTGAACAAAATCTACCTAAATGTGTATCACCATTGGTAGCAAGTACTTCGAATACACCATTATCAAGTGCTAAAACCGAAACATCGAATGTACCACCACCCAAATCATATACAAGAATATTTTTAACGCCGTCCTTCTTATTTAAATTGTCTAATCCATACGCAATCGCTGCTGCTGTTGGCTCATTAATAATTCTGAGTATGTTTAAACCGGCTATTGTGCCAGCATTTTTCGTTGCTTGTCGTTGTGCATCATTAAAATAAGCGGGTACTGTAACAACTGCATTTGTTACATTCTGTCCGAGATATCTTTCCTAGAAACAAAAACAGATTATGGTTTCAACTTGAATGAAAATAAATGAATATATTACAGCAATCTGACGCATTCTACTAAGTACCATTGCAGAAATTTCTTCGGGTGTAAATAACTTTTCTTCAAGACCTGTATATACTTGTACAAATGGTTTTCCATTTTTTTCGATGACTTTAAATGGAAACATCTTTATATCATGTGTTACCATTGGATCATCGAATTGGCGACCGATCAATCGTTTCATATGAAATATTGTACCTGTAAATAATAGAAAATAAAACAGATCATTAACTAAGTGGTATATAGACATACTTTCAGGATTCGTTGTAAGTAGATTTTTAGCAGCATCACCGACTAATCGTTCGCCATTCGATGTAAAACCAACAAAAGATGGTGTTATTCGACTACCTTGATCATTTTCGATGATTTCTACATGACAATTTTTATAAATACCCACACACGAATATGTTGTACCCAGATCAATACCAATTACAGTACCAAGATCTTTTTTAACTTCTTTTTTAGTTTTAAAGAAAGATATTGCACAGATACTATTGAATAGAAGAAGTTGTATAACAATAAAAGTATACATTTGTTCCTAGATTAGAAAGAAAAAACTGATTGGCATTGATTATGTCGACAAGAAAGGAAAATGAAAAGCGTGTGAGTTGATTGTCAGAAAGTGTCTTTTAATGGTTGTGACAAACAGTATTCATTGAAGAGTATTTCTTCCTTTTTGTAAAGTAAAGTTGGACTTTTCCACGTATTGATTTCTTGCATGTTGTGCAAGTACTATGAATAATTTTTAACGAGTAGTGAAAATCATTTTATGACTGTTTGTTAATTTTCTTCTTTTCTTTGGTTTGTATGAGTTGATTGTTTATTTGAAATGTCATCGTCTCGAGTCACTTAGGTGTAGAGGTCGGTAGAAAAAAGGTTCGATTTTATAGTTTTGTGAAGATAAAAAAAAACGATTATATATGAAAACGAGATGTTGAATATGTTTATTCACGACTACAACCATAGTGTTCAGAAAAGGCTGATTATTTGTTTTGAAAAAAGACGTTCATCTAGATAAAAATATTTTTCATATGGGCTTCCTCTCATGTGAAATGCTTCTAATCTGAGATGTGACTGCGAATGTCGATCATGTTTTGATCCACATTCATTTGTTCACATCCTTATTGTTTAGTTTTTCTGGGTAGCTTGAGAATTCGAAATATATTCACGAGACTACTCGGTTTTGGTAATTGAATATTCAGAGTATAACAAAAATTTCAATTATTTGCTGAAGGTTGTCATATTCTGTGATCATCTTTCGCTCTACAAACATACACTTCATTAAAAAATAGAAATTTGTGCCAATGAGAGACACTTGTCATTCAGAAATGATTAAAACAGTCATTCGCACAATCTATTATAAACTCATTTTGATGAGTATTGGACAGTTTTTGTATTGATTAAGTTGAACAATGAAATAATGAATCATGAAGCGTCATGAATGAGATGAATCCAATAGTTTGGTAATTAAATGTCACAACGAAACTTTCGAAAATCGAAATTCTTCTTAGTCATAGATCTCGTCTTCATCCTCATTATAATGCTGTGCGCATATGTGCTGTCTTATATTGCATCGTTCATAACTTTAAACAAGTTTGTCATCTAGAAACCGAACGTTTTTACTATTTGATGCTTTCACTGGAGACATGCAGCTAACTTTACCGTATGCAATTATTAAATTACCATTATATCGATAGAGCACAAGACCACGAAAATGAGAACTAGGAATCATGACGAAAACCTTTAGTGTATTGAAAATAAACACTATGTCTTGAATTTTGCATGGAACAATTTGACAATAGCTGTTTATCACATTAGAGCAAAACCGAAATTTCACAAGGAGACGGAAAAAACAATATACTAGATTTGAAAATTACTTTATCTTACCTTGAGAATGATTGTGACCATTAAAAAAAAGAGAGAAAAGCGTACATAGCAAGCTCATTCATGAAAAAGTATGCGCTGACTCTACGTACCCAGTAATAATTTAGTTCTAGACCATTCAATGGAATACTCTGTGGTTGGTACTCTTGATAGTTACTAATATTTAAGCATATATTCGGTTCTGAGCATTGACGGTGATAATCATCTTACTCAGTGTGTTTTGAATATTGAGAGGAATACTTGACTACTTCTAGTTACGTTTTTATTGTCTTGTCGATCTGCTTCTTGAGAAAATAGCGCCCACTACGCATTTCGAAAGATAGAACAAGTTATCAAGAACCAAAGCTTGCATATAATCTTACTTGAGATAGTCAAGAAATCTCTAGTAGGTTACCAATCTATTTTTATCATTCGTTGATAAGGATGACAAGAATAATCCAAAAGAATCGGGCTTATGACACGATCAAATAATTGAATATGAACCTTTACATCGCAGAATATTTATTTGAAAAAGAGAGTAGCAACATATTCTCTTTTTGTTCAATCTGCTTATTCAGTCGAACCAGACGAGTGATAAATCTCTGCAAGTGCTCACATGTTTAAATGATCCCACTGCTGCACCAACAGCTCGTAAAGTATGCTTTCCTGGTGTCAGACTAGTGGCCAAGTAACTCACACTTATCGTCCTTGAACTAACGCAATGAGGATGTTCCAATTGCTGGATACCTATGAATCCTACGGGCTGTCCATCTAATTCAATTCTCAGGAGAGCCGTTCCGCCGAGATCTTTTTCATCGCCCTGGATTCGCGTTTTGGCGACAATCATTAGAAGACCAGAATGATTCTGTGGGATATCAATCACTGATTCAGCAAGAACTGTGCCAAATCCGTCAGCCGGTGGACACCCATGCCATACAATACTAGAACCCACACAGATCCATCCCACCAATTGTCTTTCTTCGACGATTTCGAAGCTGTTCCGAACACCTCCATTCCTTCTTGCATCCCTATCAGCGACGTTGTGGCTCCAACATGGTATTGAACCGGATCTGGAGCAAAATCCCATGGTAGTGCTGACGCATCAAAAGATACTGTTTTCACTCCCGAGGCGAAGCCATGTGTATACATAGGTGCGACAAGTTCTGCTCCATGAAAAATATCATTTACCGTTTACATGGAGGCATTATTTCCGAGATGTTGCCCATCAAAAAAGAGTCCCATCATCGCATCTCCCTCTAAACCACCTTGATAAACATAACCTTGAGCTAACGATAGTACTGTCTCCGAAGGATTAAGATCGGTGATCATGATGATCAGTGTATGTCCTACAGAAACTCCAGTTGTGGTTGGGGTTAGAAATGACAAGATGAAACTATCGGTTACGAATGACCTCTTTCGAATAAATGAAGCAGGATTGACAAATACAATCAAATTACTATCGCTTCCAACACAATAAGATCCATCGATATCTTCAGCAGTTAAAGTAAAATTATACAGTCCATCGACGGAAATTTCTTCGTAACCGATAGTATGATATGAATGCTGCACTGGAGTTATACTTCGGCTCCAGTCAATCGGACAGTGACTCGAAATACGAGCACTATTCATTGCTATGATCATATTTCCCATGCAGCGTGACTTAGGAAAATATCGACCATCACTTTGAACAAAGACTTTATCATTAGCTTTGAGAGTGAGTGATACTTGGAGTAGAACATCGCCGAGATTACAATGATCTGAATTGAGTTCAATGTATGCTCCTTGTTTTATCAAATACATGCTTGACACAAGAAGCAAAAGTAGCATTACCCATGTCCATATCATCTTTTATGTTTGACAAGATTTTGATCTAAAAAAGTATCGGAAGGTTAAAGAAATATCAAGTTTTTATTTATGAAAGTGCGATAAAATGAAAAGCAACAGGAACAACAGAAAAAAAGAAGTTTTTTGCAATAACTGCCAGGTTTATGATTAGCTCTCTTTGGTGATTCGTCCCAATTCGCTCTAAAACACTAAATACGATTACCAAAAGTGATTTGAGCGAAGACAATTTATTAAGGTATATAGAAGAATCAAAGCTTGATGAGAGCTTCGAGAGCTTCGCAAAACAGTAGTATCACGTTACACACAAGTCACTTTTTGCACAATACCTGAGTACCCAGTCCGATATCATCAAACAAGCAAATCTGTAGAATTTCTAACAATCGTTCGACAATGAGTTCTGTTCTCAGGAGAAACTTGACGAAAATATCCAATAAACTCACGCCGATAGATATGAGTAAAAGCTTTGCTTTTGAGTTGTTAATATAAATAAAAAGAGATCATAATAGCAACTTCGACTGTTAATTTTACACCAACACACATTTTCGTAATCATCAACAGACTTCGAGTACAGCATCAAGGTTTCGCTACGCAATTTTTGCAATAATACATTCATAAGTACTAGCTTGAAAGTCTAGCACATTCAAAGAGACATGATATATTGTTCACTAACTTGATAGCATAATCAGTATACGAGTTTGCTATGGAAAATGAGAAATTTCGTTTAAACTATCAATTCGATAGCACCAGTGTCAGCCACAACAAAAAACTAAAGAACAGAGTAACAGATAGGTGACTTTTCAGAGAAGTAAGTGTAGGTGCTAATATGATCGGGAAAATGTTTCGCTATGAAAATTTTCTTCAACCGCACACCAAACCCACCCTCATGCTCCCGTTTTCCAACATAGACATGCATGCACACTAGTATCGATTCCAAATTAAATAAAACCAAATGAGTATTGTATATAGTCAGTCGTTTTAAAATGCATATAAATACAGGCCTTCATCTGTATGAAACACTTTCTAACGTCATCTATGGTTTCTTCTCAGAATTCTAAGCAATTCATTGGCATATAAATAACAATCTCAACATATTCAATAGTACGTAATCTTACTTCCGTTTCCACGAAATACTATTTAAGTGCGTGCATTGTGCTTAATTTATACATTCCCCATTTTATAATAGTTCACAAACAATGTTTTTCCTTCGTGCTGGCACTACTACTCATTTTGTATGACCTCGATGCAACTGTACCCGATGGACAAATCAGTGAGACAGAGGTTGTATGAACGTAACAGTGAATGTTTGTATGTGGGTGAATAGAAGATTCGCATCATGAGACCTTTGCACATACACCCGCATCTATATCTTCAAGTTAGTCCATTTATTCATGGAGACCATGTTGACGAACTGTTATTGTGCCAATAGTCAAATTTTCACGTAGGTGCTAGTTAAATAAATGCTGTGAAGTTCTTACTTTGGTAGACAAGGAGTAGAGCATCTAATCAATCCATTACGAAAAATATGACAGGTAACTTTTTTTTTTCTTTGTCTTTATTACATTGATACCATTCTCACTTATACAAACTCTTCAATTACTTGATTTAAACGACAGTCATACGAGAAACAGTAGAGCAGGTCATCTAGTCGGTGCACTTTAACACAACGGTGTTCTTTTCAATAACCGTGCATATCTTCGATTAGTACTTTTCATTTTTTTTTTGCCATAGACACTTATTTTACTTCATCTTTACGGTAATTAAATGGAAGTCGATGAGGTACAATATTTGACTAATAATTGAAAAAGCAATTTAGTAACATATGTT